TGCTATTTTTATTAAATGAATTTACATAATGTTTTCATGAACAATTTACACATTTATTTTTTGCTAATGTTTCATAAATAATGCCCAGCATCTGTAATGTGTAAGTTAATGTGTAAACTGCTTTATTTACTAACTCCTTTATGTTATCCCTGCTGTCTTTCTCTTTTAGACTTGTATGCTTTGCTCTCCTCCCATGATGCTGCCTAACTGGTGCAGTGTTTCAGCCCATCAGCGGATCCATAAGCACCGCGCACCCCACGTGTGTCCAGAGTGTGGAGGCACTGCTCGTCAGGCCACGTTTCAGACCCATCTGGAAGAGTCTTGCCTGCACTTCGCCAGGCGCATCGGCTACAGGTTCCTGGCCTTCAAATTCCTTTCAGTGTTTTGTGATATCGCAGACAATTTCCTTGCTTTGCAGCTGTATTTTTTAGGGTATTTGTGAGATTTCCTGCAAGGAAATAAATTGTTACGTTATACCCTCAAACCTGCATCCTTTATTCCAGGTGCTCCAGTTGTCAGGTTGTGTTCGGAGGTTTGAACTCTATTAAGTCCCACATTCAAACAGCTCACTGTGAGGTGTTTCATAAGTGCCCCAATTGCCCGATGGCCTTCAAATCTGCCCAGAGCGCGCAGGGGCACATCACTTCCCAGCATCCCGCCCTCACAGCTGCACAGGCTAAGTAGGTTGACCCGTCACACACAGCTTTTTGTGATTAGTGCCTAATATTTTGTTTTAAAAATACATTCTTTAAGTCTGAATATTCTTATGTTATTTCTACAGGATGATCTACAAGTGTGTCATGTGTGACACAGTGTTCACCCAGAAACCTTTGCTCTACATGCATTTTGACACTCACCTGGCCAAACAGAAGGTGCATGTGTTCAAATGTCCAGACTGCACTAAACTTTATGCCCAGAAAGGCTCAATGATGGAACACATCAAGGTAAATACCTTATTAATAATAATAACAATAGATTAGATAATATAAATAATAATAATAATTATTATTATATAGAGTGCATTTAAGGATATTAAATGTTTAAGTTTTAAATTGATTACTTGTTATTTTGCCTTTTGTGTTACGCATTCTTTTCACTTCCTCTAAAGAATGTGGTGTCAGCAAAGGCATACAGTAAAACTCTTGGTTTGGCCTTTACAAAGTGATTTCTGTGTATCACCTTGTCTAAAGCTCATACCAAGTACAACAGCCACCTCAGTGTGAACTGTCACATTTTCCTGTCAGTCACGCTCATGCTTTTAACCAGAGCTGTCTTGTATTATTTCCCATTAGACTGTTCATAGAGGCCTGTCTGTCAAAGCCGAGACTCCGCCCACCACCTCATCTCCGGTCTCAGCTCCTTCCAGCAACTCCATTTCTAAACCTAAACCCACAGAAAACAATTCGGATGAGTTGAGCCAGGGACAGGGAGAGGAGGATGAGGAGGGGGAAGAGGAGGAGGGAGAGCATGAAGGGGAAGAGAGAGACGAGGGAGAAGAGGAGGAGAATGAGGAGGAAGATCAGGTGAGCTCTCCAGAAAGCGGGAGTATGGAGTGGAGGTGCAAAGAGTGCAAGAAACGCTTCACTGAGAGAGAGGAGTACATCGACCACATGAAGAACGAACATGACACGGTAGGTATTCTTAAAAACATGCACGTGTGTGTGTGTGTGTGTGTGTGTGTGTGTATATATATATATATATTAAACACATTTTTTGCAATGATCACTCGAATGTGGTGATCAAACACTTATAATGACGTGACAGAGATTTGTGTGTTTGTGTGTTTTTGTGTGTGTATATATATATATATATATTAAACACATGCACGTGTGTGTGTGTATATATATATATATATATATTTATTTATTTATTTATTTATTTTATTTTTTGTGTTTATTTTTAAAACATTTATTCAATTTACAAAGAAAATAAAAAAAAGTTTTTTAGTAAGTACTGTATATATTATGTATATATATATATTTTTTTTTCAGTTATATATAGTTCCAAAAGGGCTCCAATATGCCATGGGTGACAATATCCAAAACATTAAGAGATTTTTTTTTTATTATTGTATATTTACTTTTAAATAAATTATTTACATTTGTGATATGCCTGTCTTTTTTTTCTCCTCTAGTTAATGAAGAAGTTCCCCTGCAGACTGTGTGAACGCTCATTCAGTTCAGCCAACAGCCTTCGTCGACATGTCCGGATAATACATGAGGGCGTCAAGAGAGTCTTCCGCTGCCCGTGAGTCAAACATTCATCAACCACAAATTTATTTGAATCTTTCTTTTCCTCCTTAAAACCGATTCTTCATTTGTTTAGTTTGCCCTCTAATTCTGCATATATTGTGCATATATATACTGCTCTCCTCAGGCACTGCTCAGAGGGTAAGCGTACGTTCAGTAGTCGTCTAATTTTAGAGAAGCACATTCGGGTCAGACATGGCATCAGAGCTCGACAAACAACAGACAGACCGGTCAGTTTGGACACTTCACGTCTGTAGAGTTCAGAGATATTTGATTATCCATATATTAATTTTAATTTCCTCTCCCAGAATGCTCCAAACACCAGAAAGCGTTCACTTCCGGGCGAGGGGACAGGCAGCTCGTCAGAGCTCGACAACGAGGGCGGAGCTCCACCAGTAGGGGGCGGCGCCGATACTGATGACGTCGCAGGAGAAGACGCCTCGGGTCCGGCCAAAAGAACTCGAGTGTCTGAGAACCGGCCACCCGAGCAGGAAGAAGACGATGGCATGTTCCGCTGCACACCCTGCGGCTTCATCTCACAGGATTGGGAAGAGTTCCAGCGCCACATTCCCATCCACTGTGATGCGGAGAACGCGCCACAGCAGTGCCTGCAGTGTGGCGCCTGCTTTGCCTCGGCCGGCTCGCTCAGTCGACACAAATTCATTACGCACCGTTTACGCCAAGGTCAGCATGACAATCGGGCCGGAAACACATCACCTGGCGCTTCGCCACAGGACGGCTCGCCATCTTCACCAAAAGCGGGTGAGGAGGGGGAGGGAGGGGTCAGCTGCAGGGTGTGCGGTCGGCGCTTCGACAAGGCCTCGGACCTTAACACGCACTTCCGCACGCATGGCATGGCCTTCATCACGGCACACAGGACCGACAAGCCTTTGTAGAACGAGCGAGATGGGACAAGACAAGGAAAAGCCCTTGCAAAATGGGTCACGGCTTTGGACCATCCAAAACGAGTTTAAGATTAATACTTATAATTTAGAAAATTTCACCTGTCGTTATGCTTGTAACGTGATCTGTCTTCCGAAACAAAGATATTAAAGTTATTTCCCCCTTTCCTCCCTGTTTGTAACATCCTCAGCCTTTTAAATGCATTTACACAAGGTCAGATTGTATCTGCTCGAAAACTACTTTGCATCGAGCAGCTGGGCGTCTGCTGGGTTTTGCGTCAACCTACAAAAAGCATTAAAGCAAAAAGGGTGCTAGTGAAGGTTTTTTTTTTTTTCAATAAAGGAAAACACTGACTTTTAAATGTAACGATATTGTACAGACATTGTAGTACTGATATTTATTTATATTGACGCATTCATCAGTCTTTTGATAATCGTTGAACTTTAAGTGAGGTTAAAAATTTTCATTTGTGCAAGGAGATACACAGCAGACGTATATGAGGTCAAAGATGGATTGTAGTTTAAATAGTCAAAAAAAGGTCAATATAAGTAAACATGGATACATTTCAGTCGTAGATAAACTTGAGCACATTTTATGTGTATAAATGCAGTACATTAGTTTGATATGGTTGTTGAATTTGGAAATGTGAATAAGTTCAGTCCTTGTATTTTTTTTTTCTCCTTAGCTGAAAGTCAATATTGAAATACTGCTAGTGAAAGTTTGCGTTCGGAGCCTGGTGTAATTTTTACAACTTTTGTTTGAAGGATTGCTTGTGTGTGTTTTATGACGAATTATGTACAAATATGAATGTAGTTTGTTTGTTTTTTTCATTGATAAGAGTCTTTTCTATCAGAAAGTTCTGTGCTTGTCGAAAACCACATTTCTTATAAATAATATTGTGATCGTGTGAATCATCTGTGCGAGTGTGACTTTCTATCCCTCCAGTAATATATGTATATGCCCCATATATAGACAGTCTATAGACAGCCATCTTATTCTGTGATGACCTGCCTGTTTCACTGCCGTACATCTGTGTCAGTTCTCTTACCCTTCTTTCTAAATAAAACAGTAAATTGGTACCGTACAGATCACGGTGTCCTTGATGATTCATGTCCCAGTGCATGCTGGGAACTCCAAAACTAGTAAAATGCACAGTTTAATATCATCATTAGCAATATCATTGAATCCAATGCAATTACTTCTGAAACTCATGGCAGTGAAAATTCCTAGTCAGAATCTGACCAGTAAGGTCACATTTTTCATTGCCATAGTTAACATGAACTGATGTTGAGCAACATATTTTTCCAGGATTTATTCATGTTTGTTAATGTTGGTATTTATAAAAACAGTTGTTCTTCGTTCAGGTTAGGTCACAAAACTTGTTGAAACAAATTGTTTAAATGATTCATCTTAATGTTAACAAATAAAACAAAACAATATTATAAAGTCTTACCACTTCATTAGAGATTTCAGTACATGATGTTTGCTAACAAAGCTAACAAAATATGAATATAAAGTACTATATTTCTGTTGAATTTATTGAGCAATAATTCAACAGTTGGCAAGACAGTATATCATGTAGATATTGTGCTACATTATTTTAAACGGAAATGTATGTTAAGACATGTCCTTTAAGGTTTTACAAAGTCAATGATATATATCATTTGATATATTTGATCATTAACAAACCTAATAAAAAAATCCAAATCACAAGATGTAGAAGACCACCATAAGGTCACCCAGTTCACATACAACAAATAATTAATTTTAATATCATAAACACAATAATTCTTAAATGTATTTAGCATATAAATATTAACAATTTAAATTTTGCGGGTTCTTTTCACTTCAGCTGATGTCTGCTGAGGTTATGGAAAAGATCCCGTCCTTGCAGTTTTCTTTAATGGTGTCAAATTTTGGCTGCATACCGTCCAGCTCCACAGTTTGCTGGAGCACAGCTGTCAGGTCTTCAGCATCCTCTGGCTCTGAGTCTGGATGATGAACTCCAATCAGCAGCTCATAGAGTAATGCGCCCAGGAGAGCACCCACACACGTTACAAACACAGGTACCCACCACCAGCCATGACCAGCCCTGACACACAACAGCTCTCATGTTAGTCCAAGAATTTTTTTTTTTTTTTTACACATGCACAAATGTATTGTCCTGTTGTTCTTTACATTGACAATGCTAAACATTTATGTTGTATGTCTACACAGGAAAAAATGGTGTAGAAACAATTTCCACTCAGAAATTACAAGTAAATCTCACAAATAATAACAAGAAATTGTAAAACATTGAATGAAATGTGTAATTAATTGTGAAGTAGAAACACTTAAGTAGCATTTTCATGTAAAACATACTCCAATAAAGTTTTATTTACAATTTCACCAAAACAATTTTTTTTTACAAAAATTACAGTGAATGTGGATTACAAATACTAGTTTAGTTTGCATATAACATGCACTACCATTTAAAAGTTTTTTTTTTTTTTAAAGATATTTTATGAAACAAGAATGCGTGAAATTGGTTAAATGTAAAGCCATTTGTTACTTTTTTTTTTACTTTCAAAGAAACCTGACATTTATGTTATAAAAATTACTTTAAAAACATGAAGCAGCTGTTTTCAACATAGGAATAATAATAATATATGATAATAAAAATAAATGTTTCATTAGCACCAAATCAGCATATAAGAATGATTTCTGAATGATCATGTGATGCTGAAGACTGGAGTAAATTCAGCAAACTCAGCTTTGCATCACAGGAATAAATTACAATTTACAATATATTCACATAAAAAAGGTATTTTATATTGTAATAATATTGGCACAATATTACTATTTCTACTGTATTTTGATCAAATAAATGCAGCCTTGTTTTGAACCCCAAACACAGAACAGTAGTATGTGTGTGTGTGTGTGTAAATATATATATACTGTATATATATATATATATATA